CCTGCGCGATCCTCCAGGAGCAGCTGGAGTGTTGCGCAGACGCTAGTACGCATGCGTGCACCGCACGCATGCACGAGGATGCCGCCGGCCCCGTTCCAACCGAACCGGTTGGAACGGGGCGAGAAACCCACCCCTGGGACACATATATGTAATTTTATTGAGAAGAATATGGGGGTTATTCCCTCGTTTCCCAATTTCCTTGGCTCCATTTGTACTGACCACAAAACTCAATTCCTTTGGTCTCCTCATGAGGAGCAATTATTCTAGGCGCATATGGATGGTTCATCAATCTCTCCTTTTCTCCAGAGAGATTTCTGTCAGCCAGAAACTGGCTCCTGGCTAGCAATTCCATGAAGTGCTGTCCTTGTTTGAAGTGCTGCATGCAGAGACATCTAACCAGTCATGAGTTCTCACTCAAAAGCCTGAGCTTTTTGAGATCAACCAATATTGCCTCCATACGACTGTTTAACTGGGCTACGATATACAGCATTCCCATAATTAACATTGGGACCCTCTAATCTCTTTAGCTTCCTTTATAACCTGAAGACTATGAGCATGAGATAGAATGTTTTAGTGGACTCCAGGGATAGTCCTAAACAGAGCTTTGATTCTATATTTTTAACTGGAATTTTATAAATACTGCAAAAGATCCAAGCTTGCATATTAATAAAAAAAGGAGAAATGAGTGATGCAAACACACACGCACGCACACACAACCCTATTTAAACAGTTCTTGGGGACCCTAGAGTGATCCATGTTACATTGCTGTTCTGCAAGCTACACTGGATGATGATTTGCTTCTGGGTGCAATTTAAGGCGTTGGTTATGACCTTTAAAACCCTGCATGCAGTGGTGGGATTCAGCCCATTTAACAACCGGTTCACCCAAAATGTGAGTGCATGTGCATGTGCACACATATGGCTTCTGTGCATGCATGCACAGCTTCCCCGCATGCATGCATTCACGGCTTCCATGCATAGACCCACACACAGCTTCTGTGCATCTGCGGCTTTTGCCACGTGGCAAAGGTTGACCAAGCAGCCTTTTGGGGCCTGCTCTGCTTCATCTCTACTTTCTGAGGCAGTGGCTGCTTCTCTCCACTGCTGCTTTTGCTGGGGGAGAGAGTATCTCTTGTCTTGTGCAATTTAGCAGCTATGAGATACCACTTTCCTCTAAGTCCCATTTAGAAAGTGCACAGCACCGTGCCACGACATAAGCGCGAACGTCAAAAGCGCGCCGACAAAACCGCGGCGCTAAAACCGTGATGTCAAAAGCGCACCAACAACAGCGCGCCAACAGAAGCATGATTTAAGTTAAGGTAA